AAACACAAACATTTCCAGCTCCCGGGGCAGTTTCAGAGGATCTACTTTGGCCAAATAGGCCTAAACCATGGTTCAAAACCCCCAAATATCACAATCCAATTCAGTGTTTGTATCCATGTCCTGGTAGCCTAGTTCCCACAATTCTGCATTGGCCAGAACTGAAATTCCAAGACCCTGGAGGTGGTTCCAAAAAGTTCACTTTGGCCCAATATACTGATTCCCAAAATACAGTTTAAAAAGATCCACTTTAGGGTTAATTTGTCTATGTTCCAGCCAGGCATGAAAAAAATCAAAAGGAAATAAAAAACAGGTTTCCAAGCTTTAAACAGCAGTAGAGTGCTCAAAGTCACTGTTCTGGGCACTATGCCAAAGGACTTTGGGTAGCCAAAACATAAGATAACTGCAGACTTAACTAGTAATAGCAAGAAAGTTTATTAAGATTTATAACGCCAAATTGTAATATTCTTAAAATATATTTTAAATGTATTTAAATTAGTAGTTAATGCCCCATTAATCTTTAAATTATTTTCTTTGCATCAACTATCCCTCTCTCCAGATTTTCTGCCACTCTATGAATGATGAGATTGATAGAAGATTCTTTTTTCTGTATATAGGAATTGTCTTCTCCAGGGGTAATCATAAGCAATTAGTTGTAAAAATACATCTCACCGGATAATAACACTGATGTTCAATAGCTGATTGTTGCTTCTCTTATTGCCAGCTGCCGACGACTTGCAAGCAAGCTTCCTAGCTGCTTGTTTCTGCCCGTTGGCTGATTGGGGAGTTTCCTGGATCAATCAGGGATGACTGCTGTCCCCCGCCCGTGATCAACAGGCTTCCCACCCACCCCAGTTTACCTCAGGTCAGAATTCAGCCCAGGAGCCAGAGCTCCGTCCTCCTGCTGTCTCGGCGCGGCATCAAGCCGGTCTCTTCAATCCCATCTATGCTTATTTCAATAACCTTCCTTATAACATGCTTTACTTTGGGTCCAGATTTTAGGCTTTCTCTTTCCTTAGGCTCAAGTGTGTGAAAGATTATGATTATTTTCCAAATGCAGCCCTTCAACTACTTCTCCATCTGGTGAACTGCAGAGGTCTCAGAACTGTTTTTAAAGCTAGGGGCTTGAGACCAGCAGGTTACAATGATTTTTGCCTACTTGCATGTATGCTTACTTGCATGTATTCTTATTTCAAGGGCTAAATAAATAATCAGGCAGGCAAGCAGTCAAAATTCTATTCAATACTGTTAAAATGGCTGTCAAGAAACTGGAAAACAGAGGATCATAGTTTCAGATGCCCTTTTGAGACATAGGCCTGTTAGTTCATGCCAGAGTTGAGGTAGGCCAGGGGGTGGTGGTGGTGGTAGAAAATCAGAATCATAGAAAAGTGAAGTTGGAAGGGGCCTACAAGGCCATCAAGTTGAACCCCCTGTTCAACGCAGGAATACAATCAAAGCATATCTGCCAGGTGATTAAGTTTTTCTTGAATGCCTCCAGTGTTGGAGCAGTCACCAACTCCCGAGGTAACTGCTTCCACTGTCGTACTGCTCTAACAGTTAGGAAGTTTTTCCTGATATTCAACCAAAATCTGGCTTCCTGTAACTTGAGCCCATTATTGCGTGTCCTGCACTCTGAGATGATCGAGAACAGATCTTGCCCCTCCTCTGTATGACAAGCCTTTCAAATATTTGAAAAGTGCTATCATTTCACCCCTCAGCCTTCTTTTCTCAAGGCTAAGCATGCCCAGTTCTTTCAGCCTTTCCTCATAACACTTGGTTTCCAGTCCCCTGATCATTCTTGTCACCCACCTCTGAACTTTTTCCAATTTCTTCAGCATCATCTTGAAGTATGGTGTCCAGAACTGGACAAAATACCCAGGGTGAGGCCTGAATAGTTGAACAATAGTCAAACGTCCAAGAGGAGTAGAACGTGAAGAAGAATGAAGTGATAATCTATGAAGGATTGACTACTGCAATACTTACTGACTCCCTTTTCTCAGTCGTGAGGTGTCCATTGCCATCTGCTTCATCCGTTGCAGACTCTTGTCTTCAATGTTTTGCATTCCATCCACAGGCATACAGTCCACATACAGATTATACAACAATAGTGCCTGTGTTTTCTTTCTCAAGTTATTGGCAGAAATTACTCGCTGGGCAAAAACACGAGGATCCTCAGCAAGAAAAAGCAAACGGACACGAGGCACCCAATACTGACATGGCATCAGTGGGGTTCTCCCTGGACAGAAGGCAGAAAAGAATTAGACTGGAGCCATAGGAAACTGTAAAAGAAAATAAGAAGTTTAGATAGCAGAAACAGTCTATCTATGACTATGCTATTGTCAGGTAGTGAATTTAGCAGCTAAAAGGACACGTGAATGAGAGAATCAAAGTTGAGAGCTGCTACTTGCTCTATGGCTGAAAATGTACAGTTATCATATGGTAACAATATAGCAAAGTACTTTTTTTTGCAGTAGTGGGAGATGCAATTAGTATAAGCCAATCTGATTATCACATGGTCTCTTACCCTGAGACTGCTATTAACTTTTTTAATGGGTGATCTGCTCATAGGTCTACTAGTGTTTTATCTGTTTGTGCCCCATTATGAGTAAGCTCACTGAACTCTGTGAAACTTCTGAGAAAGTTAAGCACATGAATATTCAGATGCTCTGTGGATTGCTACATACAGAAGTGGGTGTTATTTAAGAAATGATTTTTCATTTATTCAACTAGCCCCTCACAGACCGATCACCAAAAGAAGAAAGATCTTCAGCTGTTATCAAACATGTGGGGGAAATATAAACTGGATATAAAAACAGCTCTTGATATGACCTCCCCATCCAATAATAATTGAACCAAAGCCCACCTTCTTCAGTCACTCCTCCATTGAGTATACATCTTCCTTTGTCATCCCGGACTAGACCCATGTGGTTCGTCTTATGTACCAAATAGAATTTCGTCTTCTCATCATAATCCAAGACACCAACATCAATCCACTTATAGATCAACTTACGACTTTTGGGATCCTCTGAGATATGCATGACAGACATGGTTTTATATTTCGACATTTGCCTTAGTTAAAATAGACAGAATCACAATATACTATCATACAGCTCGAATAATCCCTCTTTTGCTCCTGGGTCCCGTATCTGTCCTCTCTAATTTTTCAACATCATCGTATAATGTTGGCAGGCAAATATCAGGCCATTGTTTTCAGAATTGTAGAGCATTTTGTATTAGATTGTGGAAAAACTAGAAAGACAGCATGTTTTCAAAAGTTAGTTCAAAATAATCCCATGCTATACATCTAGAAACAAAAGCAATAAAAGTCAAAGGCTAGTATCCTGCTAAAGCAACTACCAATACAAAAGTGTTGTAGTATCTTTAAATTTACACTGACAAATTTATTTCAGTGTCAGCTTTCATGTGGTATAACACTTCCTCAGATACACTTCAAATCAGTCACACAATGAACATTTCGGCCAAATGTTGAAAACTGCTTGCACAGTTACTGTTGTGTGTGTGGATATAGGACAATAATAATAAAAAAATTCTAAACGTTATTGCTTATATGATAGTTAATGAAACACATTAACAAACAGAAAGCTCAGTCATCAAAGCACTGTGCTGGTTTAATCCTACTGATATGAATGTTTAGGCTAATACAACTCTGTCAGTTGCACACTGCAGCTTCCAGCAAATTTCAGTTGAAACCACACACTTGAATAACAACTGAAACAAAACCAAAACCAAAACAATAATATATTAAGTCCAGTACCCAAATACCAGTTGGATCATCTTCCCCTGCATCCATTTGCTCATCCATTGAGTTTATCATCTGAGAGACGTCCAACATCCAAAGTGTTGTAAATGGGAAACAGAGACGCAGCCTTTTGAAGGGTGGTTCCTTGCCTCCAGAATGCCCTCCGTAGGGTGACCAGCCTGATACCCTTTCTATTATTATTTAGACATCAGGCAAAAATATTTAAGATCTTCCAGGCTTTTCGGAACTGTTAACTTAAGTGTTTTAAACTTACAGCAGTTTTGATGTAGATGTCTAGCTGAATGAGCAAGTTGTTTTAGCTTATCATGTTACTTTATATGCTTTAGCTGCAATCTAACTGAAGAACTATGCCAGCATGAGTCTATTGGTATACATTTCAGTGGAAAATTACCATTAAGTAAGAAGTCAACATTGACAATGGGTGTCAAATACCAGGCAAGTGACCTGGTGCAAGACACTAAATGCCTATACTGACTTCTTAACTAATGGAATTCACTGGAAATTAACACCAATATACCTATGCCAATGGGCATAAGTAACAGGATTCTGGCTGTCATTTCATTATTTTTTATTGGGTTTTTTTTTGTTGATGCTGTTGTACTTTCACTCTCTCTTAGGATTTTACTAGTTGTCATGAAGATGCTGAAGGTGTGGTACATAAAAACCCAAATGCAAATCTAAAATATTTAAAATGTTTTTTCACAGAAAAATATTTTAAAGGGGGAAAAACATCTTGCATGTCTTTTTGAGGAGGGCTGTCCTTCCCCACAAATCATAGTAACTCCGTTTGAATCATCTATACTTTACCATGCCCCAGTACGTCATCTGTTGGTAGGAGTGCTTTTCCTGGAATTGGTTTCCGATCTTCAGACCCAGGCTCCACCCCCAACAAGAGCCACTCTTCTGGAGTTCGGCAATCATATTCTTCATCATCAAAAATCTAAGCAAGCAATAAGCAAAACAATAAAATAATAACTGGATATGGGATCCAATGAGGTCCCTAAACATTTCCAAATGTATTGCCACCAAGACACTTCCATTTTCTTGTTCTGTTCTGACTTCAGTTCAATGTGCTACATCAAAACTGCTCTAGAAGGTCTGTCAACATTCTTTAAGGACTTGCAGGAGTCATAAAACCCTTGATGGAACAACAAGGTGTGTGCATGTGTGTCTGTGTTTGAAAGCTCCTCCCTTAGTTAATCTTTTAGATCAGTCTCCTCCCAGATATCAATCTATTCTCAAACATATTCAGTTTCTCTTAACCTCTATCTTTACTGCCATCCCCACCCGGGTTCAACTCCCTGGGTATTTTTAAAATTAGCCTCTCCAATGTTAGATATAATGTACATTAATTTTGTACCTATTAGTGTACAAAGAAAATTTCATAGAAGCCTAAGTCCCAATTTTCAGATATTACTGACACCTCTGTCTTACCTCTAGTGGGAGATAGACTGGGAAAAGAGGATCGTTATTCTGCTCAATAGTTGGCATATTGGCAGGGTCCTGGTGCCTTGGCATCAAATCATTGGAATCTACTCCTTCATTTTTCAAAAGCTGAGAGATATCTAGGCTGAGATATAATCGTCTTCTCCTAGTTAAATAAGATCAAATGATTCATATTTATAGACGTCCTTTGTTTATTTCAATAAATGACAAATATGCAACAAATCAGCATCAGGATGCTATCTAGAATACGGAAAGCATAATGGATTTGCAAGTTAAAGCAAAGTGTGCTGCTTATATACCACCCGACTGCATTTAAAGGACTCTTTGGGCAATTTACAAGTTAATTATTCAGACTACACATCCCCCCTCCCCACCCCGAGAGCTGGGTGCTCAATTTATAAGTCTCGGAAGGATGGAAGGCTGAGACAATCTTGAGGTACAAGTTAATTATTCAGACTACACATCCCACCTTCCCGCCCCGAGAGCTGGGTGCTCAATTTATCAGTCTCGGAAGGATGGAAGGCTGAGTCAATCTTGAGCTGGCTACCTAAATCTGTTGGGACCAAATGCAAGTTGTGAGCAAAGTTTTGACTGCATGACTGTTTTTTAACCACTGTGCCAAAAAGCTTGGTTGTTTGTTTGTTTGTTTGTTTGTTTGTTTGTTTGTTTGTTTGTTTGTTTGTTAGTTTTGACTGCAGGACTGTTTTTTAACCACTGTGCCAAAAAGCTTGCTTATTTGTTTGTTTGTTTGTTTGTTTATTTATTTGTTTATTCATTCATTCATTCTTTCTACTTATATCCCGCCTATCTAGTCTTGTGACCACTCTAGGTGGCTTCCTTGTTTAAGGTAAACATATACCTATCCCCTTGATAAAGTTACACAAAACAGTTTCTGTTCACTTGTCCTACCCATAATCTGACTCAAAAGGCAATGAGGACTTTACCATATTTTGATTTTCACTCTGTCTGCAAATGGAAATGTTTAAATGAACTGCAATGGCAGCCTTCTTAAAAAAATCATACTTCGATTCATATACGCACTATTGTTAACAGCAATCAGAACTGATACTCATTCATTTTGCTGCCTCTCCAGTAACACAGGTTAACACTACTTGCTTCTGGACAAGTCAGGGCTGCAAGTGATGGATACATCTGGGGTTCCTCTATTACTCTAGGAAGCATTCAAGTTTCATGCACATGTGCCAGTATGCAGTACTTTCTCTATAGAGCCTCTTAAAAACGTAAGATGAGCTATAACCACACCGGCCAAGCATATGCCAATAGGAAGCCCACAAGCAGAACATCAGTGTAGTAAGAGACTCATGTTCCCTAGCAACTGACCTACAGAAGCACATTGACTGAAATATGGTTATAATTATTATGACAACTAGCAGAGCTGGGACTTTTGGATTAACAGGAATGGTAAAAAAAACATGAAAGAGGCACTTACTTTTGTTTTTGGATTATTTTGTTAATTTCCAAAAGGGACCCTCTGAAATCCAAATGCTTCATTTTAATGAAAGAGAAAATCGCAAAAGATTCTAATTCCTTCATGTTTTCCTCTTTTGTTTGCCATTTCTTTCCTTATGGTCTGTCAAATTGCCCAGAGAGGTTCAATGAAATAGCACAGCTGAGAACTGGCATCAGCAGCCAATCCAAATGTCTGGGGGAGGGGGAGGGAGAGAACCGTGAGTTGTAGAATGACCTGAACTGGTTGGAACCCAGTGAATAATTGCTTAGTTGCAATCTTTCCTTGAGTTTAGGATCATGTGCTACTGAGTTCCATGGTTCCCTCCATCTAACTGGTTGGAACCCAGTGAATAATTGCTTGGGATCATGTGCTACTGAGTTCCATGGTTTCCTCCATCTTGATGGTATTCTCTGTGCCTGTGAATCCTTTTTTGCTCCCCCTCCCCCAATTTGCTTTGCAGATCCTGCTTCCCCTATTTTTTTTAGGATTATGTTTGTTTCTGCTGCCAGGCAGTTTACCTGTGGTGCAAACATGCCTCTTTGGGATTAATTTTTGATTCTTCCACTGCACCCCTGCCAATTTCTAGGGAATTTTGTCCCCTTTTTTCACCTCTTGCCTTTCCTAGATTAATGTTTTTTTTCGGCCTGCTGGTGGATTCAAGTAAGAGAAGGCATCAGTGGAAAGGGGAAGAGAATTTTATTCTAGTAATTTTGGTTGGTAGGGTCTTATTTTATTCTCTGTATTTGTTTGCTTGCCTTTCTTGATTTTTGACAGAAGGGGCACCGTGCTTGAGTCTTTTATTTTGCCTTCCCCCCCTTCCTTTGTGTTTGCAGGGTAACAATATTTGCTCTGTTAGGTTGATTTTTAAAAAATTGTGTTATTTGGATAATCTATTGTGGATAGCCTGCCTTGCCCCTACTTTTTTGAAGTAGATTTTAAGGAGTCTTTAGGGTTTCTGAATTGATTTTCTGTTGCCTGCCTTATCACAGTTTTTTGTATTATTTTAATGGTTGTTATTTTTAAACAGCTCTTGGACAAACGTCATGTAGAACACAAATGGGGGGGAGACAAAACAAAGAGAACCTGAAAGTGCCAGTCTCTTTTGTGTTCAACAAAAGGTCTGGTACGTGAAAGACATGAAAACAAATGATCTAGCTGCTGAAAACAAACAAATCAAATCAAAGACTAAAGCTAAATCCTAGAGGTTTTTCAGTCCATGAATCGTTATGCACACGAAACACACAAATCAGTGTTTTCATGTTACAGATGACTTCAGCCTTACAGCATGATCCTATGCAGCAGCAGAGGTCAGAAACTTCCAGTATGTAGGTGAATCTGGCCTGCCAACCCTCCCAATCATTTCACCACAGCCTCACGACATCTTGCTGAGTACTCTGCCACCAGCTGTTTCAGGAGTCACCATGCCAAGGTGCTCAGCAAAAGCATGTTAAAACTGCAATTCTCAAACTTTCCTCCAAGTTGGGAAAAGGGGCAAGGGAGCCTTGTTTTGTCAAGAGATGAGCCTCAGGTAGGCAGGGGCAGCTTCAACATTGTTGTTTCCTGGGGGAGCATTATAATTTAAAACCCTCCTCTTAATATATTTTAGTCTTAACAGTAGAATACACATCATGTCATTAAAAGCCAATAGTTTCTAATTACATACTAATCCATCACCTCTCTCCCATGATGTAATTCCTTCTAAGTTCTAGAGCCTGGGTAATCAATTAGCAAATGAAGCCTACACTTACCTCCTGGTGACCAATGCAAAACAAAAGCAATTTGTTTTGCAATACTACTAATTTGCAGAGGAAATCTCCTGCTAGGGGAAACAATATATCTTTTAAGGCAGCTTTACTTCAAGAGATTGGCTAATGGCATCATACAATTGGACTTTTAATATAGGCACACCTAATGCTGAAAAGAATTAGACTACTGTTTACATAGAAGTACTGTAGTTCCACAGCCCAAACTAAAGAAATCATACTTGCTCATGTTCCTCTTCACATTCAGTAATTACCTCTCAATCTCAATCTTCCGAGGGCATTGTCCTGGAAGCACCTCAAAGGGAATCTGTACTTTAGGCTTATATGCTTGCAGTGGAAAGTCTGACTCTTTGATAATTTCTGTAGTCAGTCCAATCCGTTGGCTATCCAAGAGAGCCCCAATGTTGTCAGGAGTATCAAATGTTGTGACTGGCAACAAACAAAATTAAGAAAGATCAATCATTTAAAAATTCTATGTATTCAATAAAATTAGAGGAATGCAAAGTGTGTCAGAGAAAAGCAGCCAAAATAATAGAAACTCACCAAAAGGCAAAAGCTTAGTCTTACATTTAAACCAGGATCTTACATTTAAACCATTTAGCCAGAATCTAAACCCAGGACTAATCTTTGTTTTCTGATCAATGGCTTGCTTAGAAGCAACAAGCCATAAGTCCTAGTGTGGATGTAATACCATGTATTTGCTTTCTGGCTAATTTTTCTGTTACTTCTGAGCTGGCAGAGTCGAAGAGGAAAGAAAGGAAAGTATCTACACTGGTGTTGAACAGTAAGTCAGAATGCTTCACAACTTTGGCTTAGTAGCATAATTTATAAATCATTTTATAAATAATTACATACTACTACACAAAATGAATAATATGAATTCTATTCAAAGTTTATCACAATTTTATTGTCCATGACATTTTCAAATTTTCATTTATGCAAAAAAAACCATGTGGTTTGAAGATACATTTTTCTAGATATATCGACATGCCCGCTTGTGTCCCTACGACTGAAAGAAAAGAAAAGAAAACCCTATCAACTCCCTTTTAAAGCCAAGTGCCTTGAACAGCTGGAACTGTTAGGCCTTCTCGATTTTCTTCCCTCTACCTCCCCGCCCCTCAGATCCTTTCAGTACAGCTGCTATCTTCTGTACTAAGTTCTGATAGAAGATACCTGTATTTGTCTTTAAATCCACATATATTCATTTTGCCTTGGCGGCTCTGCAGCTTCAACCCTGTCAACAATCAATCACATCCTTCAGTGTCTGCTTTCTTTCTTTCTTTTAAGAATAAAAGTTCAAATTTTTCCTCATTTTTGGTGAGAATGGTAATGACAGTGCCCTTTTCTGAATCTTTACCTTTCGGCGTGTGAGCCTCAAGTTCTGACTGTTTCAGTAAGTCCCTGTATACACTGGGACCAGCACACACATCCTGAAATTAAAGATAAGAAGGATTTCAAGGAGAAATCATAGAGGCCAAGGCTTCTGTATGCGCCGTGTGTTACTAGTATGGAATAATAATAGACCTGGAGAGGGCTGCAACAGTCATGAATGAAATGTCTCCTCATATCCTTGACATTAAAAACAAATCTCTACTCATTCTTCTAGGAACCCCTCCCTATATTGGATTAGCTTTTTTAAAAAAGAAATTGGACAAACAAGAACAGAAACAAGGAAATATAAGAATTGAGCAAAAAATGGAGTATGGAAAAAAATTAAAATTCTAGAACCCCTCCCTATATTGGATTAGCTTTTTAAAAAAAGAAATCGGACAAACAAGAACAGAAGCAAGGAAATGTAAGAATTGAGCAAAAAATGGAGTATGGGAAAAAAATTAAAATTCTGTGGTGATGGATATTAATAACTGTTTCTTTTTAATACTGGCTAGTGTCATTTATATAGGAACTACAGTGGTGCCTTGCTTAAAGCTAAAAGCAAAAAGCAAAGCGTGCTGCTTATATACCACCCCATAGCGCTTCAAGCACTCTCTGGGCGGTTTACAATTTAATTATGCAGGCTACACATTGCCCCCCCAGCAAGCTGGGTACTCATTTTATCGACCTCGGAAGGATAGAAGGCTGAGTCAACCTTGAGCCAGCTACCTCAACAATTTGAGGTTCTTCAAATTGGCTCTTCAACAATTTAGCAATTACCTCGTTAAACAACGAATCCGCTTTACGATGGTTTTTTTGGGATAGCTATTGTGATTGCAAAATGATGTTCCTATGGGGAAAATTCGCTTCACAACGATCGGTTCCCTGCTTCGGGAACCGACTCTTCACATTACGATCTAAAAACAGCTGATCGTCGGGTTTCAAAATGGCCACCCACTGCGCAAAATGGCTCCCCACTGTGTTAAGGACAGATTCCTCGCTATCCAGGCACCAGAAAATGGCCGCCCTATGGAGGACCTTCGCTGCATGATGAGGGATTTCGCCCATTGGAACGCATTGAACAGTTTTCAATGCCTTTCAATGGTTTTTTTTAATTTTGCTTGACAACGTTTCACTTAACAGCGATTTTAACAGAACACATTATCGTCATCAAACGAGGCACCACTGTATTCATAAGCTGAGAACAGACAGAGAGGTGAGGTATTGCTACATACTTACTTCCAAGAGATCTGCAGCACCTGGTGCAAGGACATCAGAGTAAAACCCTCGTTCTTTCATCACTGGGTATTTCTTATTTGTTGTTCTGGTGGGACTCTCTCCTGGGCTCGAGCTGGGTCCTGAAATGGAGTCTGATATCTGGCTATTGGGATGAAGGGGATAGGGGCTCCTTCCCAAAGCACTTTTCAGATCCTTCTTTGCTTTGTCCATCCTCTGATCTCAAATATGGGGAACAGACTCATGAGACAATCCTTCACAACTTGTACAGAAACTGAATTATCCTCAGTTTGTGTACTGTCAAGAACCTCCAACCTATTAATCAGAAGAAGAGATTAAGACACTCAAGCACATGCTAAGTAATGTAAATCAATGTCACTATTACATGCAAAGGATGCAGTACTGGGTCTGTCCATACTGGCATACAGATATGGTATATGTATCACTGGTGGCACATTTTAGATTTAAAAAACGACCTCATCCATACGTTTTGCTATTTTGAATGATCCATCTTTCCACATTAGAAGCTGTCACACACTTTTCTGGCCCAGCGTTAGGGTATGGATTCCTTTTGACACACTTGTCTAGCTCAGAGATACCGGCCTCCGGCAACATCTGCTATTGTGGATGCAGATTCCAAGAATTCAGAGAGAAAATTGAGAGGGAACATGGGAAGGGAAGCAGTAAGAAGGAAGAGAGAAAACAGAATGGCACCACCAAATGAGATAAAAGTGACATAAAAAATTCACTTCCTCTGTCTACAGCAGATCAGGGAAGTGCTTAGTTGATAGCTGAGTAGGTTACCAGGGGTAATTTGTTGGATGGGAATAAGACACCAATCAGCACATCACTCCTCCCCCTGACCTCAACAGACCCTTTATAGCCTGATCCACCCCACACCCAAAATGGCCATATGGACATGCCCATAGTTATCTCAAACTGAAGAGGGTCTTTCATAACAGTGGATTCACCTGTGTCATTAAGTAGCAATATATGTCAAAAACCCTAATGTATATGTTAAAAGGCATAGAAAGAGCCTCCCCAAAAAGTGGAAAGTACACTCCAACATCCCCTGGGCAATGGCGCACAAACGGCCAATCCTTTACTTCCAGACGTGTTGCACTGCAAACTTGATGAAAAAAATGATCCAAATATCCTTTTAGGGCCACAAATGATAATAATTTCTAACATTTAGATTTGTTTTTATTTTTTACCTATAGTTCATATGTTCATAATTCTAATTTGTGCAGCACTCTGATACAAATAAAGAAATATGTACATGCTGCAGGCTTGGTACCTGGAAAGACTGGAAAGGCTTAAGAGTCAAAGAAAGGTAGTTTGTGATATGAGCAGTGATGGCTCTGGGGACTCACAGGTATTAACCAATCAGGCTGACTGAGGGATTTTCAAATACCCATCAAGGGCTTCCCTTGTTCTCTTAGGTGCCTCCCATTTCTTGGTGGCCATGAGGGACACCTGATCCCCAGGACAATGGAAGGTGACAGACAATGAGATGCTGCGAGGAGAATCGGGGCTGCATTAAACCAGTTGTGTCATGGGGCATGGTTCTGTTTGGCTGTGCTGACCCCCAGAAAAAAATTATATGTATTTTCTTATTTTTGTACAATTTTTATAATTTTAAAATTGCACCCAGAGACCTGTGATTTTTTTTTCTACCTTGCATTTGTTTGAATGAGTGGCACTCTTTTCTTTTATGACATAATAAAGACTATTTCCTTCTGCTTGGTTCACAGACCAGAAAAATCCCTGGTTAAGGAGAGAGAAAATAAGCCACTAGGCTAGGAGTATTTTTTATTTTTGCCTTTGTGTAGTGCACTTTCCAGATCCAGGGAAGGAGTCAGTGCCTGAACAAAATTCCCTATATCTATTGATAAGTAGGGGCTCCATTCAGGGAGGTGGTGGCGGGCTAATACTTTAAGGTTTGATACCAGTAAGCTCCCCTGTTATTGTTTTCATACAGGCTGGACAGAGATTTAAGCTTTGTAGGATCTTAGAAGGCTACAAAGAGCATTTTCAGATTATTTCCAGTAGAAACATCTAGGTATGAATTACAAGAATTAAAAGATAATGGTATTTTTTTTTAAATGACACAAACTCTGTAAATGGCTCTTAGATAGCATTTAATTGAACAAGATACAGTTTTCAAGTGCCTAGGTAGGATTTCTCAGGTATCAGACACATACCAACAGGAATATGTTGTGGAGAAAGCTCCATGGAGGCAATTTTTCCATACTAATGGTCACAATTTTATACTGTCAGTGTTGAAAGTCTATAGCAGTCAAGTCTTTAGCTCAGTTGCTGTATGGGATACCAATACATACTTAAAACTGATAGAAATTGTGCAGTCTAAATTTCTTAGGCAAATATTTGCTGTACCAGGCTGTCTTCAAAATTCTTCTTTGAGATTACAAGGTGACATACCTTCTCCTTGAGGCTTTTTTCTTTTTGTTTTGAAGGATTCACATGACAGTAAATGAAAGATGCTGGATGAAATTCTGTTAGTGTAGCAAGTCTCACTACAGAACACCCACTGAATCAGTGGGGACTTGGTGAGTCAATTCCTCAATAAGTTCCACTGACTCAAATGGGCTTATTCTAGTTGCAACTTATTATGCTAAATTAAGTCACAGCTAGAATAGGCCCATTTGAATCAATGGAACTGATGAGAGAAGTTGACTCATCAGATCCCCACTGTTTCAGTGAATCTTCTTTAGTGCCATTTATGACACTAAGCAATAAAATTTCACCTATTAAGTCTAAACCATATGCTTTTGGATTTTCACCTCAGTGATTATTGGCCTTTGATTGTTGACTCATCAGATCCCCACTGATTCAGTGAATCTTCTTTAGTACCATTTATGACACTAAGCAACAAAATTTCACCTATTAAGTCTAAATCATATGCTTTTGGATTTTCACCTCAGTGACTATTGGCCTTTGATTGCAGCAAGGAAACTTGCTAAAGCAGTGCTTGTAGGGTCATCGTTGTTTAGTCGTGTCCAACTCTTCGTGACCCCATGGACCAGAGCACGCCAGGCCCTCCTATCTTCCACTGCCTCCTGGAGTTGAGTCAAATTCATGCTGGTTGCTTCGATGACACTGTCCAACCATCTCATCCTCTGTCGTCCCCTTCTCCTCTTGCCTTCACACTTTTCCAACATTAAGGTCTTTTCCAAGGAGTCTTCTCTTCTCATGAGATGGCCAAAGTATTGGAGCTTCAGCTTCAGGATCTGTCCTTCCAGTGAGCATTCAGGGTTGATTTCCTTTAGAATTTGATAGCTTTGTTCTCCTTGCAGTGCAGGGGACTCTCAAGAGCCTCCTCCAGCACCACAATTCAAAAGCATCAATTCTTCGGCGGTCAGCTTTCTTTATGGTCCAGCTCTCACTTCCATACATCACTACAGGGAAAACCATAGCTTTGACTATTTGGACTTTTGTTGGCAAGGTGATGTCTCTGCTTTTTAGGATGCTGTCAAAGTTTGGCATCGCTTTCCTCCCAAGAAGCAGGCGTCTTTTAATTTCGTGGCTGCTGTCTCCATCTGCAGTGATCATGGAGCCCAAGAAAGTAAAATCTGTCACTGCTTGTAGGGTATTGAACATCAAAATAATTTACAGTATCTGTCTCCAAAAAGCATGTCATTGTTATGATTGTTTCCTATCAAACTGTCAAAATACAGTGGTACAGATTCTGGAAGTACTAAAAATTCCTAAATATCCATCGGTCTGTTTATGTGCTTGACTTAATGGCATGCCTTCAGCAGTACTTGAGGGTTCTTTTCAAAGAATTCCACTACAAAATTGTATATGCACTTGTGCAGGCAGTATTGTAAAGCTTGCCTCTGTATTGCTGTTTTTCCCTTCTATATAGATGTGAAGAGTTAATTTATCCTTTGTTGTTTAATAAGCTATGCCATCCATCTGACTCTTACGTATCTTTTCTTCTTGCAGACTGAAACAGGTAATTATACAGTCTGCAAAGGTTCCAGCAGCAGCAATTAAAATGAAGTCTATTGTTTCTAAACCATAATTCTCAACAAATGTGAGTCTTACTGAGTATGTATATACATGTGACTGAACTTTTCTGGCTTTTAATATCCTGGTCTTGTATTATGATAATATTTTACAGTACTTGCTACCTGCAAAGGCATACCGCTAATGCAAATAAAGAATCTAGTCTGTCCTAATGTGTCAAGTGAACATACATGCCAATAAGAATCTGGAGGGCTGAGCTAAAGCTTCCTGGAAACAATAATTCAGGGCAGCTCAAGGACAACATCAAATGGTGTCCAACATTTTCTACTGGAGGCAGTCATATTACTCTACCAAATGGCAGAGACAGCCTTACTACAACTCAAACCCAAATTGGGAAGATCCCTCAGAGTTCCCAGATCCCATACTGTGATCTTATAGTGGGGTCAGAATACCATCTGCCTCCATTTAAAAGTTCTCAAGTAGCAGATCCGAGCAAGCCCTTTGTGTGCAAAACCTCAGAGAATTAGATAATACAAGAATGAATAGATTCATGATTTAAGTCTGTATAAGGTGTGTTCAGATGGCAGGATAACCATCTGTCTAGCACAACAGACTAAATCATAAAACAATGAAGTTGGAAGGGGTCTATAAGGCCACCAAGTCCAACCCCCTGCTCAATGCAGGAATACAGATCAAGGGATATCTGCCCAGTGGTTGTCTAAATTTCTCTTGAATGCCTTCAGTGTTGGAGCAGTCACCACCTCTTGAGGTAATTGGTTCAACAGCCATGAAACACAATGGATCACAGATTGTGAAACAAGGAATGAGTTATTCAGTACAATGTATTCTAAGGACAAAATGGAAGGTCTATTTTTCTGAAACATCAAGAATGTACTTGAATCAAAGCCACATCCAAGTGATTGCCATTAACATGCCAGACTGCAAAGTACCACACTCATAGCTCACTGTGATTCATTCATCCTTTAGTTACTATACAAGAGTCTTTTTCTTTTGTAACCCATACTTCTCTCTTCTTCGTAAATTTAAATATTTCATGACCCTCTTCAAGCCTATCTTCCCAATAATTTATATTAAAGTATGAAACATAGTGGCCAGAATCCTATTTAACAGTTTGGCACACAGAGAGCTCCTTCTGCCTAAGCTGCTGCAGGAATCTGACAAGGTTTAATGCAACCAGGCGCATGGCCAGCACCGCACGAAATCACCACAGCAACTTCTGTGGTTGGAAGTGTGTACACATAAATACAAAACAGAATCCCAATCCAGTAACCTGGATTTGAAAAGGCAGTGAGTCT